AAATTTAAATGTATAAAGTGACACGTGAGATGAATTAAATGAGTTCGGGAAATAATTGATACTCTTAGCTTAGCCAATAGTATTCAGACTAACAGAGAATGAGAAAAAGAAAAAAAAAATAGTTGTATAAAGAGACGCTAATTTACAAGGCGTTCGAGAAATAATTGATACAATTACCTTAGCCAATATTACTGAGACTAATAGGGGCGTTATGTTAGTATTTTCTTGGCGGGTATGGGTGACTGAAGCGAGGAAAAAATATAAAATATAATTGCTCTTCCAGGGATAGCGATTATTTTTTTAATAGCTGTCCTAAGGATATTTTCAAGCTATAACCCGACTTATATATGTGTATTTTAGTATTTAAAAATATGGCCCTTGGGAGGGGAGGGGGAGGGGGTTACTCAAGAGGGAGACACTGCCCCTCCCCCCCTAAATGACATTCTTGGTAGTAATATCATCAGCACTACTACTCATATTACGATCAATGTAAATCACTGTTATTATCATTATTACCGTTTATATCATCATGGCTTGATCTTCCCACGAGAACGATCACTATTAAAACCTCATAGCAGTTATAACAACCAAAAAAACGCCCTTTTCTCTCCAATCTACACCCATTTTCTGCACAGAAACCACAAATACCCTCAGAGCCTACCGTAACCACATATTTGGTATCGGTTTCCAAGTTGCCTATAACGTATTCCGTGTTGGTAGTCTTCACTCTCTGATACGAGCCTCCGTTCTTTTTCCAAGAAATCTCGTATTCCTTTATCTCTCCCGTGGGTGGACAGTCCTCCGGCTCGTCCCAGTTCAAAGTGAGGCTCTCGTCGGCTCCATGAACTTGGAGGTTTCTCACATGGAGAGGAGCTGAGGGGAGGAGAGGGAGAGGGAAGAGAGGTTGGGAAAGAGAGAGAAGAGAGCAGAGAGAGAGAGAGAGAGAGAGAGAGAGAGAGAGATGACGAGAGAGAGAGAGTTAGATGAAGATGAGAGAGAGAGACGAGAGAGAGTGAGAGAGTGAGATATGCTGGAAGAGAGGTGGGAAAGTAGAGAGATGAGATGAGAGAGAGAGAGAGAGAGAGAGAGAGAAGAGAGAGAGAAGGAAAGAGAGAGAAGAGAGAGAGGAGAAGGAGAGAGAGAGAGAGAGAGAGAGAGAGAGAAGAGAGGAGATATGAGAGAGAGAGAGAGAGAGAGAGAGAGAAGAGAGAGAGAGAGGAGAATAGGAGAGAGAGAGAGAGAAGAGAGAAGAGAGAAGTGAGAGAAGGCGGGGGAAAAGAGAGAGGGGAAGAGAGGAGAGAGAGAGAGAAAGAAAAAGAGAGAGAGGAGAGAGGGAGGAGAGAGAGAAGAGGAGAGAGAGAGAGAGAGAGAGAGAGAGAGAGCGAGAGGGGGGGAAGAAAGAGAGAGGGGACAGAAAGAGATGAGAGAGAAGAGAAAAGAGGACAAGAGAGGCGAGAGAGAGAGAGGAGAGAGAGAGA